CCAGATTAATGATTTATGGTCCATGGTCAAACTCCTATTTCCAATGCTTTTTAACTGCACACACAGCTGGCTTAAGCATTTAATATGCTATTGAGGAACACAGACTAAAAGGCCATATAACACTTTTACCTTTGGGAGATGTTGTTCCTCTCAAAGACTTGTATGTTTGCAAATAGAGTTATAGCACCAAGGCTTATGGTGGGACATTTACCATATTCATCTAACTCTAAAATAACCCTGATTTTAAGATAATCCCCCCAATAATTAGATTCTATAAGTGGAAAATTTAAAAATTTTCCATGTGTAGAATGTAATCATTAGAGGGATGTCTTAAATTTGCCCCCCACCCTCTGCACCACTGCAGCAGAGACAGCAGTGGTAGGAAGGCAGGAAGTAGGGGAGGTCAAGCAGTCTAACCCCTACCCCTTGCCTCCCAACATCTTGCCCCGCCACTAATTTGCCCTCCTGTTACTTGCCCCCTCTTGCCTGAACTCCCTGGCACCAGCTCTCCTCCCTGCATTGCTTCCCCCTTGCTGCCTGCCTTTTCCCACCACCCTTGCTTCTCATGTCCTCCCTATCATCATCTATCCTCTCCCCATAGCCTGACACTTCCAGCACAGCCTCAGCCTCATTCTAGCCCAGGGCACAAAACATGTTCTTGCTCCAGCCCAGCCCAGCCATAGCTATTGGGGGCGGAGGGGGAGGGGAGAAGGGGAGGGTCAGAAACAGTAGAGAGCAGGCAGCAACTGTGGTTCCACTTCTGACTTGGGGTTGGGGCCAGAGTCACATCTGCAGCTGCCACCTGTCATGTCCCTTCCCACCCCTGATTCGTACTCAAATCCAAGATGAGGGGCTTCCCCCCCATGTCAAATGGAAGTAGTTCAGTAAAAAAAAGTAAATTAAAGCTGGTTAAACAATTTGGAAAGGGAATTACTGTAATTCACGTATTTTCCCCTTTTTTTTTTTTTTTTTGCTGTCATACTATAAAATCAATGCTTGTTAAATTATCAGTAAAAACTCAAACATGCAAAGAGGTTTGGCATGTTCAGACCCCCTTAAAAGGAGTCAGCTACAAGACTAATGATCAGCAAGGCTAATCAGCTCAAGAATTTCTTTCCCCATGTCATTCAAGCCATCTTCTAACGTACACTATAGACAAGAGGTTCCCAACTTTTTCTTATGGCGCACTTCCTTCCAAATTTACCAGCTGCCTCCATACCTCTACCAGCGTATGCTTTCAGAGGTACACCGGTATATTGGTGCCATATCAGATTGGCACCGATGAAAGGAAAATTAACATTATCAGCTATTGGCTTTTTTTTGGCCAGCGTAGCCAATAACATACAGATAAATGAAATATGCCTTCTGGTGGAAGTCCCCAGACACCATGTGCATGTGTGCAGCCACACATGGCCAGGAATGCAGCCCAGCAGTGTGCAGAGCAGTGCCCTGCAGGTAAGTCTGTGGAGGGGAAGGGGCATGGGAGAGGGAAGGGCAAATCAAGGCCCCCATGGTGAGGGAGGAAGTGGGGCAGGGACTGAGGCTGAGGGTGCTGCCCAGCCAGGGTGGTGAATGGGACCTTGGGGTGGGGAGCGGGACAGAAACACAGGCAGCTCCTCCAGGGGGCGTGTGGAGGGGGGTCAGCTCCCCAGTGCTGCGCGCACCCTTGGGGGAGGCAAAGGAGGTGCATGTGCCCCTTCAGATTTGGGTATGGGGTGGATGCGAGCTGCCTGCTGTGGGCTCACAGCTGTCCGTCCTGCTGCCTTTTGCTCCAGGAGCCACACACTGGCTGCATGCCCCTGCTTACCATGCAACAGTGGTGAGTTGTGTCTCCCGCTGCCGGGTGGGCTGGGGATGTGGCACAGCCAGCATGTGGTTCCTGGGGCAAAAGGCAGCAGGGCAGACAGCCCCAAGACTGCAGTAGGCAGCCCACCTTTGCTCTCACCTGGCTTGCCTCTGCTCCTAAAAGCAACCTCACGCTTAAAAATGGTGGCAGCAGTGCTTGAACTAAAGCTCATTTAATGAGCATTTAATGACCATTTTTAAGTGCTAGGACGCTGATCCCTTGGACAAACTGGCTGCGGCTCTGGCCCACTCCAGCATCCCATTCACCGCCCTGGCTGGACAGCTCCCCCAGCCCCAGGCTCCAGCCCCTGCCCCACTCCCTTCCTCACCGTGAGGGCCTTGATCTGCTCCCCCCACACTCCTTCCCTCCCCCTCCACAGACTTACCTGCAAGGAAGGTGCTGCTCTGCATGCTGCTGGGCTGTGCACTCCTGTAAATCGGTTATTGGATCAGTATCAGCCAATATGCCTAGTGAAGAATAGGCTATCGGTATGTGCCAAGAAAATCTCTATTGGTGCACCTCTATATGTTTTATATTTTAATCCCTTAAACATCAATTATCATAATTAAAACTAGCCAACTGCCCATTGAAAATGATTGGCAGGGGGGAAGGGGGAGACAGAGGCTCCAACCCCGCTCTCCGCCTCCCCCCACCACTTTGGGCCGGGGCCGGTGACCACCACGGCATTCACAGTGGCAGCAGGGCGCAGCCACCAGTAATCCCACCCCGCTATTTGCTCCCCTCCCTCCCCTGTTCCCTGCCACTTTCCAGCTGGCTGTTGTTGCGGGGTGGGGGTTCCAGCTCCTGGCTCCAAGGAGCAGACCCATGGGGGCCTCCCCACTCCATCACCTCTGTTATGGCAGCGCTCCAGTCCCCATCATCCCCCTCTGCCCTCCCCTCTGGCCTCTCAGTCCCCACTGGCATTGCGGCGCTCCGTTGTCTGTCCCTGTCTGTGTAGGGCACTCTGACTGGCTGCCGAGACAGTCAATCCGAGCGTGAACAAAGCATTACAGATGGACAGACAGACAGACAGACAGACAGACAGACAGACAGACAGACAGACTTAGGCTTTTATAATATTAGAATTAAATCCACGATTACATAATTTCTGCCATGTATCCCCAGGGCTGTCTTGTGTACCCCACAGTTTGAGAACCCCTGCCTTAGACGAAAGGTAGTCAAGGGATTTAGACTTTGGTTCTCTCTGCCATGTACCTTTTTTCTTTCTAAAGGATCTCCTCTGTACTTTTTGTGCACTAACTACATGTAGCCAGTACTATATAAAATTTGAAGACTATCCTACTATTTGAAGATTAAAATTAAAGCTATTACTGTTTATTTAGTTTTTGTCATCCATCTAGCAGCGTTAATGGCATTTATCCACAGAAAGAGACAAGCCAAGATTCCTACACCCTGTTTTAACAATATATCTCAATTGAGAACTGCTCTCACACCCTTATTAGCACTCCTATAATAATTTCTCTCTTCAAAGCATTTTACGTATTAGTAACCTATCAATCTTCTTGACACCTGTGGGACAGGTAAATATTATTTCAGTTTACAGATGGAGATATAGAAGGCAGAGATGTTAAGTGACCTGCAGTAGGCCAAAATTAGAAAATCAGAGGAAACTTTAATATCAAAAGTTCCGTTTCCCAGCTTGTGTACTCAGACGATCTTGCCTCTTCCATTTTAATAGCAGCCTTCTGTGCAATAAGGCCTGGTCTGCTAGGAAAGGAATCTTCTGTGTATTTAGTGGTATTCAGTATCCCTGCATATATTGTAGGAGCTAGTGTCTTCTCAGTCTTATGCAGGCTGGCAGTTCTAAACCTAAGAGCTAAATGCCAGACTCCATATCCTTCAAAGAATCTAGTTTTGACCCTCTCCCAGCTTTACTGCTGAATACTTTAACTAAATTTTGTCCCAATGAAATGCAGAGAAGTTATTGTAAAAGAAATGACAAAACATGGAAGTCAACTAACCTTACAAGACAAATGCAACTGGACTGCAGTTGGTCAACAGTGAAATAATCTAACTTGTACCGACAAGAAAAATGAGAATTTGAAAACATGGAGCAGAGGGACTGGAAAGCAGATAGCAAAGTTACCTTCAGGAGAGAGCAGAATGAGGCAGAGAAATTGTATAGGGGTAGAGACGGGAAAGGTGATCATGGTGGATATTGTGGGGGTTTTTTAAGGAACTGGACAGATCACACATAGGGATGGAGTCCAACGCAGCAAAATAGGGAACTGACAATCAATGAAGTCAGCGAACTGGTGCTGTTTGGAAAGGGAAGACGGAACAAATTTATAGCGGAGGAAGTAGTAGTCATGGGCTTTTCTCTGAAGGAACTGGTGGAGAAAGCAGATGTGAAGAATACACTGGTATTAGAAAGGCAGTCTTAGTAGTGCAGAGAGCAGAGGAAATCTTGTATAAGAGTGTCACTGTAAGAGAGCCCAGGGCCCAGTGGGCATCAGACTAGAGGTTCCAAAAAGGCTGTGCAACCCAGAATAATATTTAAAGGAAATGAGATGGGGATAGACAAAGAGAATGGGGACACTAAAATGCTAGATCAAGAACAGCATTCGGTGAAGACAAACTCAAGGGATGGTCATTTGCTCAGCAAGACAATAAATCAAGAACACAAGGTCAAATGAGGCCGACATGCAGGATATCGGTCTGGAAACTAAAGCTGCTGAACATAATGATAAAAGGCTATAAGTAGAGAAAAAGGCAAACCCCAAATGTTTTACAACAGAGAGAAAATCAAATGTGGACAAGTCAAACATGGAAAGATGAATATGGAAGAAAAGGGAAAGACAATAAAAGTCAAGTGACCATACCACTCAGCAGAAGTCAAGGCCAAAAGTGACAGGCAAGGGAAAGAAGTCCAACGAGCTACCACACTCCTTCATGAATCACTTCGGACATGGTGCAAGAGAAGAAATAGCACTGGAAGCTGCAGATACCTGAAGAGATAGCACTAGAAGAAATCACTGGGATGCCTATGAATACTTAAAGATGTGTCTTGACATACCAAAAAGATAGCTCCTTAAAGAAACAAAGACATCTTATCTATGTCTGCTAGACAATGTCAACTGAAGACACTATAAAAGAATGTTTTAGAATAACACATCTCAATTTCATACAATACCATTCATATTATTGATGGAGTGAACTACAGCTTCCAAAACAGGATGGTCTTTCCCAAGCACCAAATATATTCTAAAAAAAAAAAAAAAAAGGTCAAGATACATCTTTCAATAAGAAGAAAAACAAATGTGAAGCAAGAATGTTCATAGGCACCTCTTTCCATGTTTGAAATCTGTTTCTTTACTGTTGATTTAAATGACTCAAATTACTTCCAGTCATAATGACCATCATGTTTTACTGACTACACTATGACTAAGGTTACATGATACACACACTATTTATACATAGGAACACTTGCAGAGGCTAGTACTGATAATAACTCTGCAGCCATTAAATCAGATATTTAAGATAGTTCTGGGAAAAAGAGTTACAAGAAACATTCAAAAGCACTAGACCTTTGGATTGCAAGGTGCACGTTGTAAACATACACACTGGTATTTACAGTTGTCTGTTTTTTTTCACCTGTTATCACAGACCAACTAGAAGACTGCATAATAAAGCTCTGCTTATTAATGCTTCAAATCTTCCAAGATAAGGTTTTAAAGTCATAATGCCTACTACATTTATTCTGTTAAAGAAACCTTAATGTACTAGAAGGTATTCCAAACACTGTGATTACTTATGCTAAATGCAATATTTTAAAAATACATCACTTAGACTAAGAAACCAGAAACCTATCACTTTGACAAGAGAGCAAAGTGTCTGCTTCTCCAAGTCCTGCACAGCTTAAAACAACCTCTTAGAACAGGGGTAGGAAACGTTTTTTGGCTGGAGTGCCGAAAAAACCACAATCTCTACCCTGAAAGGTGCCGGAGTGCCGACATGCTGGAGCCCTGCTGGAAGCAGCCTGGGCTCCACAGCTAGCAGTGGCTGCTTAGAGCCCGGGCTGGTGGTGGTGTGCCAAGCAAAATGGCCTTGCGTGCCATGGTTGGCACGCGTGCCAGGATTGCTGACCCCTGTCTTAGAAGTTAAAAAAGAATTTTTTACTCAAGCCATCTGTTACCCTTTCCCTCCATCCACACACAAACATGCTGTACAAGTGGATTCCTCCCTAGAAAGCATGATATTACTTGCTACTTATATTGTACCTTTCCTTGGTCTGGCAGTTGGCAGGATAAGGGTGGCCAGGAAACCCCCGCCCCCAGATAAACAAAGCATTTATATTCTTAACCTGTAAAGGAGGGTTTCACTCCATATAAAGGGGTGTCATTACGTCCTGTGTTCAGGCTATTAGACAAACTAATTATAAGGAACCAAAACAAGTGTCATGTTTACCTCTTTGTACAGCTTAACAGAGACCTTCTTGTTCTTCAGAAAGTAAATAAACCCCCTGAACATGTGTTTAGTGTTGGGGAGCTAGCCTAGCTCTGATCTGATAAAGGAAATACATTATAAACAAAAGAGAAACATGTTTGTGTGTAAACACTATTCCTCCAAGAACCTTCAGTCATACAACCCATACTTATTACCAACTGGAAGTCAGGAAAGGGGAAAAGCATTTTTTCTGGAAAACTCCACTCATTTGTAAATTAACTGTCATTATATGAAAGATGTTAATATATGTCAAGATTACATTGTTACCTCTATAAACCATAGTCTTGTTTTGATAACGTAAAACCAGACCCCTACCAATCTTCCTACTACTTAAAAGGACCTAGAAATGTCTGTACCAAATCCCAACATTCATTTTAAAAAGCTAAGTTTCTAGCTTTTTTCCCCTTCTAAATAATAGTTTGGTAGTATTTGGGTAGAAAATCTGCTGCTATTTTTTTTTTTTTTTTTTTTTACCTGGTATTCACAGAACCACACTTTTTTTTTTTGGATAAACAACTTTTTTTTTTTTTTTTTTTTTTTTTTTTTTTTACCTGGTATTCACAGAACCACACTTACGGTAACTCATAGCTGGCCTTGGTGATGTACCAAAAGTCTCTGTTTCTGCAAGAACCCCAAATTGGCTCCTTGCTGTAGGGGACACAGTACCAGCACTGCTGCTAACAGTACTATAAATCAACACAGCCAGATTCTCCCTAACTTGTTTCTTACTACAACCCAGCTGGTTTTCCTGGTGAGAAATGGTGAAATCTCCATGCATGAAAAAAATTCTATTGGACTAAACAGAGGGTTGAGAGCAAATTACTCTGACATTATAATCCTGGCTATTGACCTTTCTACATAAAATTTGACAGATTGAAAATTTCACATACCAGCATGCACTGTACCATAGGCACATGAACCATCTAACAATTTAACTGGGTAACATGAATTTATTAGTAACAGAACAGAAAGATTTTCAGAGCTGGTGAGAAGTCATAACTGAATTACATCAATGGTAGCTATGGGTTCTCATCACCTCTGAAAAGAGGCGCTAATTTGTTAGTATGTGTTATGAACCGTACTAACTCATTGGGCAATACAGGTATTGATTAAAACCTCAGAAACACCTTGCCCAAAAACAAACAGGAGAAGCATACACCTACTTGTAGAGCAGTCAAATCATTAACTAAAGACTCAGTTGACAGGACACTGCACAAAGTTGCATTTGCAGCCAAGGGAACTGTGCACTTAGCCTTTATATGATTGCTATCACATGGAAACAACATTAGCCTGCACAAAAGAATGAGAGGTAATTCAATTTCTCTGCCAAGTCAAAGTACATGAAACAAGAAGATCTCTCATCCATTCTTTTTCACATCAGTACCATTCATTTTCGCTTTTCAGACTTCCTCCTCTTGGACCTGCTTTCTCCTGAATGGAGAGGAGCATGTAGAATAGTTATTAGTTTTGCCATCTTCACCCTTTACCACTGAGTGAGTGTGTCTACACATGCACTTTGATGCGCATTAGCCAATTTTAATACACATTAAAGTATCACAAAAAAAAGTGTGCACTTTTGCTAATGCACATTAAAACAGGCTAATGCACCTTGTCTATGTAAACATGACCTGGAGTACTAAATTTAAAGTGCATTAGCAAAAGCACATTAATGAACATGTAGACAAACCCAGTATTTTTAAAAAGCATTTTCCAAGAGATTCTTTAGAGATCTGTTGTCATACAGCCCATCTCTTCCATACTTAAAGATCATTACAAAGACTACTAGTAATGCTAATACTTGCAAAGAATATTATTATAAAAACAGTGTATTTTCCCTATAGAAACAGTAATCCAGAGGTCCACTGCCACAAGCAATCTTCAGCCAAGAGACACAGCATGTTCAGTGTAGGCAACTGAATAAATATGAAACAATTCTTCCCTCTAACATTTTTCCCCTCACATCAAGAGATAATGGAGAAGTTTTGAATGACTCGCTTTTGAGTGGACTATTTAAAACTAAAACAGGCAGCTTGCTGAGAACAATAACGCAATAATTTTCAAAGTGGGGAAAATATAGAGAATGGCTCTGCCACTGCCAGAGAACAGCAAAGGAGAGTGAGGCCATTTTCCACCTCTGACTACTTCAGTATGGAAGCAAAGTGGCCACTTCAAGGATCTATCCAACGGGCAACAAGCTTTTCTTCTCTGCGTTTGCACTTTCTATTAAAACCTTTTCACTACACTTGCATTGCAGGCATGGACTGATAACTGCTCAGAAGAAACTCACCGCCACTTATAGTTAAGTACAGCGCTACCTTTCACTGTTCAGAAGCAGCAAGCATTTGCACAATGCACAGTTCTACTACACATCCCCAACAAGCTTCCCTGAAAACCTAAACAGGGTTTGTTGTAACTAATGAGTAGATGTTAAAAGGAAAGTCTTAGAAAATAATCATTCATAGTGTTCTCCTCCAAAGGATATACAATGGAACTTACATTAAGAGCAGCCTCTAATAGGAAATTGTTCTCATCTTAAGAAATTACTAAAAAAATTGACTTTATTTTTAATATGTTAACTTAAAGAACAATATTTTACGATGCCATAGATTTTAAAGGAACGAGGTAAGAGCCCAGTAATGCAAGTTTCAATACAGACCTCTATTCTTTCCGAATATATTTGAACAGTAACAGTTCTTAAGTTCTCCCCAATCCATTTTCACTTACACCCCAGTATAACAACGTGGCTCCATAAAACAGTCTACCCCACACAACTCAAGAACAGATAAACAAAATCCTATTGGTAGGCTTTGCTTCATTTAAACAGGTAAATTCACCCTTCCCTTTCTCCTCCAAATAGCAAACATATCACGTGTCATTAACCTTAGTGGAAAAAATGCAAAATACTTTCATCCTTGTACACACATCTTCTTCAAGAGTCTGCCACATAACTGAAACTTTGATCAGGTAAACTAACCACCCTTCCCTTCCCCAAGATAAGCACCTTCTTATGCAACTCACACAAGCCACACTTAAGTAAAAAGCAGTCCCCTGGATACACATCATGATGAAGAACCGATTACTGCCCACTTCTGCCAGAGCTGAGCTTGGGTAAAGCGCACTGCTCCCAGAGAAAGAGGTCCCTATCATCTTCAGTCTATTTCTCATAAATCCCATGCCCAACTTGATATCCACCCTTCCAAGTCACGTCCATTCAGTCTGCTCCTGCCTCACGTCCGTCACCTATCCAGTTAAACTCATCGCCAATCTCAAGATAAACTTTTCCCTTCTTGGTCTGTTGCGCCCCACCTCATACAGATGCACATAACTACATCCCCCAAAAACCCATTCCCAGCAGATTCGGCTTCTGGCCAGGTAGCCTGTACTCGGGAAAGCACGTCCCGTCGGGTCCGAGACCAGCGCTGTACAGAGAAGTCCCAGGCCGAGCTCTCACGAGTGTCCAGCTCTTGGAAGGGGGGGGAGATGCTGTCCTTGTCCACATAAACGGCAGCCCTGTGCCCACGAATCTCTCTACAGGAAAGAGCACTGCACCTTGTCACCCGCTTTCCCAAGTTACACGCTCCCAACTTCTTGCCAGGTATTTTATCCCCTCCGCCAGGTGGAACAAACACAGGATGCGTCACTACGCACCAAGAAGCCCCCTGCCTGGCAGCTCCAGACCACGTATCAACACGCATCAAGCCCCCCTGCTTTCACCGGCACCTTCGGGCGTTACATCTCGACTCGTGGGTCAGGGCGGATGGTGTGAGATTAGGGTGGTTCGCACAGGGGCGATCCTCCCTCAAGCTGGACTGGGTGACCTCCAGAGCAGCATTTCTCAACCCCAAAGAGGGCGGCGAGAACACAAACTTTAGCAACGGGTCCACAAGCTTGAAGACCACCCCCTGCAAAGTTGCCACCGCTCCCGCCTGCGAGGCAGTGAGGAGCGGGCACCGGCTATGCACGTTTACCCGTGGGTGCTGCTCCAAAAATAAGACTAAAACACGGTTGGGAAGCTGCTGCCTTGCAGCCCATGGCTCCTCCATGTCTCCCCTGCCCCAGGGAGCTCCTCCCCGCCCGCCCGCGGGCCCTGCCAGGCCCCGTCTTCTCCTGGGGGCTGCGGGGAGCCTCCCCCCGGCCCCGCGCGCTCGGGACGTGCCCGCTCCCCACGCGCAGGGCCCGCCCCGG